CCCCCCCCCCCCCCCCGTCCTGCTCAGATCTGCAGGGCTCTGCCCGGCGAGCAGCGCTCCGGCTCGGCTCGGCAGAAAAGCTAGCCAAGAGATGAGACGGTTAGCTGCCTGTCGTTTCCCATTCACATGGTGCTTTGATTTAGTCAGGAGTCTCGGGGGCATATTTTGATTTTGTGCCTTTAATGGGAGGGGAGCGTGTTTCGCTCCCAGCCCGGTGGGCTGTGGGGCAGGTGTCACCGCGGCAGGTGTGCTTCCCCCGCTATTCCGGTTCTGGTGGCTCCCGGATGTCGAGCCAGCCCTCCTCCTCACCCCAGCCTCCCCTGGAGCTCCCGGGGGACCGGGGGGCTCTGTCCCCGGGAGCGGAGGTGCAGGTACCCGGTCAGACACGGGTGCTGCTCTGTTGGAAGCGGTACCTGGTGCGGCTTTAAGGAGATGCTGGGGCTCTCGGGGTGAGACGTCCCAGGACACCCGCCCTGGCTCCCCAGGTTTCCAGGGCTCGCGTTCTCTCTCTCGGTGAAGGTCCCTCTGAAAGCCAGCGGGGCTGAATGTGCAGCCCAGCCTCAGGAGCCCGCGGGCTCGCTTTGGGAGGTCAGCGAGATGTCCCTATTTCCCGAACTGTGTTTCGTGGCAAGGGAGAGAAGCGGTGATTTGCAAAGCCGTGGTGATGTTTCTGGGCTCCAGCGCTGAGCCGTTTGGCTCCCTGGGGCAGGAGCAGCCCAGTCGCTTCGCCGCCGTGTCCCCCCACTTCCCGCGGCAGCCTCCCCGTGGGGATGTGCCGAGCCGTGGCCGCGCCGGCAGGCTCACGCCTCCTCACCGTCCCCGCTGACACCGCTCGGAGCAGAATCGCATTTATTTCTTTACGTCAAAAGATGCTGATGTTCCCAGCGTTGAGCCAAATGTGACATGACAGGGTCCCTCCGGGCGTCGAGCGCTAGACCCCCCCTTTCGGGCTGGGCTGTCCCCAGTGTGGTGTCTGCCTGTTCTTTCCCAAGAGAGCAGAGATAAGGACTAAATCACGACACCTCCCTCCTCCGTCATCATTTTTTTTTTAAGAATTTCACCCCTTCCTGCTAGAAAAGCAGACCCCCCAAGTAGTAGGGCTTAGTGCTTGTAAAAGCAACTTCGGCTGAAATACAATTGACTTACAATACAATACGATTGACTTCGGTTTGCCAGCATAGCCTGCGCTTATGAGGTGAATTGTAGACCATGTGGGGGAACCGCCCGTGCCGAGGGGCTCTTGAGGGGCTCTCGGCGCCCCGCTGCAGCGGGTCCCCCCGCTCCGGGACGTTTCCCGCAGAGGTCCCGCGAAAATCCGCTCCCGTGGGCGCGCAGCTCAGCAAGCCACCCTCTCCTCCGCGCTTCCCACCCCCCAGCCTCATTACAGGCGGATGAGCCTTCCTCTCTTTCTCCATTCAAATGCAAATGACCCCAGCACCTGCAGGTTGTTACTGCCAAGTATCGCTCCCCCCCTCCGAGTTCACAGCGCGGCTGGGGGGGAAAGGGGAGGGGGGCTGTGGATCTGGGCTAGCCTGAGCCCCTGACCACGTTCCGGAGGTGTTTTACGGGCTCAGTCGTCTCTGAGGTTCTCTCTTTTAATTTAAACGCTAATGATTCTATGCAGCTGCTCCCTCCAAAGCGGTTTTCCAAGTTTGTAACAAGGCATCCGTGAAAGTTGGTTAACGGTCCCCACATAAGCGGGACTTGCTTTGAAAACTTAACGCAAGCGCGTTATGGGCGCGGAACCACCGCCTGTGTCAGCGCAGTTGGGCGGTTTCAGATTGGAAACCGAGGGATCCCAGTGGGGCTGTGCTAACTTGCTCTCGATTCTCTTCCCAGGTCATCCTCGCTTCTTCAATCAGCTCTCCACGGGACTGGACATCATTGGCTTGGCTGGGGAGTGGCTGACGTCCACCGCTAACACAAACATGTAAGGGGGGCTGCCATCTATTATGGTGTACTGGTATACTGGTACGGTAGACTATGGGGTACTGCCACAGACTTGCATAAAATTCTTCTTTAAATGACAATTGCTGCATCTTCAGTAAAAGCATGACACGTTTTTCTCAATGTGGCAGTAATACAGTGAAAATAGCTATATAAAGCTGAACAGTCTTACATTTCTGATAAATAGAAATGCAAATATCCCAGACCACATGGTAAGTCAAACAGGCTGATTCTAAGACAGTAGCATGAAATTATTTTTCTGCACTTGGACCTATCTTATTTATCTCTTCCCGATTTTTTTTGAAGACTTTGCTCCAGACTGAGTATTTCTGCAGCTACCCATATGCTAACACTAGAATACAAAATACGTAAAAGTTGGTTGTCTTTTCTCCTGTTGATTTCAGACATAGCAGGCTTGGGGCACCACCTTCTCCTGTTCATGTCCTGGTAAAGAAGTAGCTTTTGGGTGGCTTCAAAATGATTAAAAATGTAGCATTGAAAATTAATTTAATCATAATGAAGCGATTACTCATATAAGATTTATTAAAGTTGTGTGTAAATAAAGAAATGGATGCATAACAAAGTAAAGTTTTTACATCTAGAACATACCAATGAGGAAAATTTTCCTAATGTTTCTTCACCTCAAAATTCATGAAAGGTAGATGTAAATTTAAGGTATTATGTTGAATTTTTGCAACAAAGAGTGTAATTAATGAAAAAAAACCAACACAAACAAACCAAACACCAAGCGAAAAAACCTAGCCAGTTTTTGTTTATATATAATGATTTGTATACGCTCAAAAATGTGATGGGAGTCCAAATACTTGGCAGGTAACAAACTGCTTTGTTTTAGTTCAGTATTGGATGTGTTTTAACTCTAAAGCTACCTCTGTTTTGGGTAGTTTGTTGCTAATTGGCAGATTGGCAGAACACACGAAATGTATCTGCAGATTGTAAAAGGAACAGTATTTTCACTGACCTATCCACGAGTAAATGGTTCATTAAGTATAGCTGATTAGTAGCAGCTCTATGTAGATTACGAGCTGGTCCTGCTTCGCGAGGTTAGCAAGAAAGAAAAATATATAAGGTGCTCCAGCCAAAACCAACCTGCTCTTTGTAACGATCTTCTTAATCAGTCTGCTTCCTAAAAATCAGTATGAGACATTCAGATTTAAAAGCTGATTGGAAAGAAAACCCAGCAACATATATTTGAATTGTAAAATAAATGTTGCAAAGTGCTTTAAAGTGCTTTTATTTTCACACCACAATTAAAAGTGAAAACAAATCTGATTACATTTCTAAAATAATACTTTGCTGAAATATTGTTCCTCTGTCACAAAAATGTACTTCAGAGAGTGTAACTCTCCAAGTCCTTTTTCCTTTGACTAACTTAGTTATCCTTCTGTAATCAGTGAAATCGCACAGATCTGATAGGCTGTAATGGAACTCAGCTCTGTAGCAGACTGTGATCATCTTACAAAATATCGCCATCATTATTAAGAACATCTCACTTACTGACTTTGAAAGAGTAACTTTTTTTTTTTTAATGATGTTGCTTTTTCCTTTGTTTGGTTTTAAAAGTAAATTGTTAAATAGCTGCTTCTGTAAGGCTAATTTCTGATCCATTTATACTTTAAACAAGAACATATCTTGAAAATATTTCTCTGTGAGCATGAAAATTGGCTATTTGCTTGTATGAGGTTTAGCAAATGCAAAATAATATATTGGGGTTTTTTTCAGCAAACCAAGGTCAACATGATATGTTTTCAAATAATACAGTAATTGCAAGTACAGTTAAAGCAACATGTTTGTAGAATGTGATTCAAAGAACTGACAGAGAAGGTTATTAAAAATAGCCAAATAATCTCTGTGAACTCTGGGGAACACATTATTTATTTTGAGCAGTGTTCCAGCACAGAAGAGCAGGTTCTGGTGTTTACCTAGAAACTGTTCTAGTCTATTTCAGCTACACAAGCATGTAGCACACAAGCAACAGTAACACTGGATTATGGTAGAGAATGTTTTCCATTTGCCATTTTTGCTTTTTCACCTATAAGCAATACTTAAAATATTTGTGAACAATTTAAAAAATGCTTTTTCTTTTGCAAATGAGTTTTGGGTAATCAAAACATCTCTTAAAATTTTAAATTGTCATTAGGAAATGTTACTTAAATGTCACTGTGAAGATAATATATTAAATAAAACTAATCACAATAGGCTTCCCACATTGACTTAGAAATAATGTATCAATGTGCTATTCATAGCTCAATTGCTAATCATAAGACCTTCAGGGTGGAAATTTCAGAAGTTGCCATTATTCATCCAGCTCTCGGGATCTGTAGCAGAGGGCATTCACTCACCACGCACCAGCCAGCTGAGGTTAGAAAGCAGTAATATTATCTGGAAGATCTCTTTATGCCCACTGTTAGATGAGAGAATTATATTGGTATTTTCAGTGTTATGCATTTATGCTTATGAAAATGTAACATCGAAAAATGATGTAAAATGCTTTACATTTGTTCTCAGAATGCTTTTTGCATACTGGCAAACAGGAGGACAGGTAGCTAGAGTGATTTGGCCTGGTAAGGTGATTTGGCCTTTAGGTGAGAGCAGAATTAAGCCAGCACTGGCCACTACCAAAAAACCCATTCATTTATTCTATTAGTAAGGAGCTGAGACTCATGACTCTTGGTTAATTCATAGAAACAACTGTAAAGGTTGTAACTGTACAAGAAAATCCTATCAGCATTTTCTGTAAGGAGATTGGATCTGAAATTGGAGAGTTCCTTCCAAGCCAAACACATTTTCTGCATTTAACTGAATTTTTCAAAATAATTTAAGTTTAAAACAAATAAGTTGGAGTGAACTTTAGCGAGATGTGATTTTTGAAATCATAGCCATCATCTAATATAACTGGCCTTATCATATATAATCATCTTCAGTCTTTTATATCTTTGTCAGTCTTTGAAGAATCAGAAAATATTTACATAATAAAATAAATAAAGGCTATTTTAGTTGGGCTTAAGTATATTGCAAATTCCCCTTGTGAACACTTGATGTTTTATATACAAAAGACTTGCTTAATGTTATATATTTTTTGTACAAGCCTTCGAGTCTTCTGGGAGGTACGTAGGGATCAGTGTGCAAGGTCTCAAGCAAAAAGTCAAAATGTGTTTAAATTGGTGGAAAAAACCCACATTGACTTAAATGTATCTTGTGTTAGGCTTTGGTGATCTACACACTGCTGGGTTCCTGTTGACTTCAGTTGGTCATTCTGCCTCAATAAAGACTGGTATATATCCTAGACTTGCAGTGCTTAAAACAACACCCCCCACCCCCTATTAGCAGACACCAACTTGTTTATTGATTTTGTCTCTGTAAATATTGGCAGCACCCGAACTTCAGATCAGTGTTCAGCTGTCTCTGGCAGTTCTAATAATAATAAAAAGCAAAATAAGCAGTATTTTGGCTTCTGAAAATAACGATTACAACAATTAAACAAATTACAAATGCTGTTTAATCTTAAAGGAATGTTTTAAAAATAGTGATGGTGTTTCTGTGATGGATTAATGACACATAGGGATTCAAGGAAAAAAATTAGTATTTTAACTAGCCAATGCAGCTGTAGATAAAAGGCAAGCTTTTCAGACACATAATCCTTTCTTCATATCACATCTCCTTAAAGTTTCCCTTAACTATTCTCAAAATGTCATTTTAGTATTAGAGAGACAACACATACGTTTTGGCGAAATTATTCAAGTGGAAGACATCAGTAAGATCAAAGTGTCAGGGTGTCATATTCTTACAGATTCTTCTGGAAATCACAGGTTGATTACTTAGTTTCTATCTGCTTCCTTTTTCCCCCTCCTTTTTTCACTTTTTTTTTTTTTTGGCACACACAGCAAGCAGAGTTTGTTTACAGCGATAGCAATTTATCCATGTACCTTGATCACCAAAAATGGTTGTATGGCTGTCACTTTCCATACACTTATCTGTCTGTGACATCAGGGCACACCACACTATGCCGTGGTTTTTGCCCTCATTAAGTGGATACAATAGTTGACTGCTGACTTGTTTTTAGTAATTAGAAAATCATCATTTATAATTACTCTTGACAGTTATTGATCACATGGTATTGTAGAAATAAGTTGTCCTTGGAGATCATCAACAGAATAAATCCACATAATTAATTGTATTTAGACTTTGAAGCCCTAGCTCAATACTTCTAATTATGGTTGTACTTAGCTCAGTGAAGTTCACTGTTTTTATAAGGATTTGGCAATATGTTATTCCACAAATATGGAATTTGCACTTTGGGAAACAAATTTTTACAGTACCATCTCGTACAGCAGTCAGCAGTGCTATGATGGTAAGCATTAGGTCTTATGTTGGTTATATAGAAAGTTGCAAAAGAGCTATTACTGCAGTTTTTATTGACAAGTATTTTCAGTATTGTCTACCGGAGGATTTTTGTTTGGGTAAAAGTTGCAATATCAGAACCTAAATTTATAGGAAAACTTTAGGAATCTTAAGCATTTTGACAAAGAATCATAGTCTGGGAAATTTTTGTGTGTTTTTAGAATCTCAATTTGATTTTATTTGTTTGTGGTTTTGTTTGGTTTTTGTTCTTTATCCATGCAGGTTTACCTATGAAATTGCCCCTGTTTTTGTTCTTATGGAACAAATAACGCTTCGAAAGATGAGAGAGATTATTGGGTGGTCAAATAAAGATGGCGATGGAATATTCTCACCTGGTGAGTTTTTCCTCTCTGCTTTGGTGATTTGACTAAAACTTCAAAAGTTAAAATAAACGTAAGCTGTATCTGAATGCCCACAATATCTGCAACACAAAACAATGCATCAGATGTTTCGAAGTAGGAATGCTTTGTTTAAACATCCCACAAAGATGGTTGGGGAAAAAACAGTTATCTTTGGGTATGGTTATATATCATGGCTGGACAGCATTTTAAAACTTCACGAGAAGCTCTGGTATAGAGTTAGGCATTTAAACACCCTTTTTTGGTGCTTAATTTCCGGAAGTGCTGAGCAACCACAATTCCTGCTGACCAGTAGCTCTTGAGAATCATGTACTGTCTTCTCTGATAGTCATTGAGGATTTGGGCTTGCAGTCAGAAAAAGACTATAACTGCCCATCGCTTTCTGGGACATAATCTGACTGGATTCACAAGTATGATTCCATTATGTAGACCAGGACAAAATGTCTTCCCGTGAAGGTGATACAAAGGCAGTCAGCAGTGACTGGTAAACCATGTGGAGGTCCCGGGCCTATGTGTGGACAACGTGGACTCCCAGCAGAACTCAGATTTCTGGGTTTGATGTGGGGGTACGCCATCTTGTTTCAGAGGATGAAGGACAATTCCACCTCTTGTTGGAACAGGCCACATAAGAGCCATGAATGCACACTTGCTTGGTCTCCAGTCCCGTCTGATGGAAAAATACAGATCTTTTTCAGTGTTCTTGTTGATGAAGAAATATTAGAGGAAGAAGTTATCCAAGACTTTACAGATAAGATTCATCTTACTAAATCTTGAGGCCTGCATCACAGCACTGAACTCATTGTTCTGGGCTCTTTCCAGCAGTAAACCAAGAGAAATAGTTGTATTCCCTCAATTCACATTCTTTAAAAGTAAGTGTTAAAATGGGTTAGCTGAATCGTAACCTGCAAAGTGCCTTTTTCCCTTCACTGACTGTAAGGAAGCTTAGAATAACTATCTCAGCTGTAGAAACCTACCTTTAAGTCATCAGCTTCTATATCTACAATGAGATGGTATAAATCCACCCAGTATGCGACATTTCTTCAGTCAATGCTTAAGACAGTTTTATAAGTTCCTGTTATTCTTGCTGATGAGTAGTTGTCATGCAAAAGCAGCACCATGAAAGCTGAACTTTTTAGGAATGTGTTACAAAACGTTAGTGATAGAAAGAGATGGTGGGTAGAAAATTCCAGCTATCAGTATGACTTTCTAGGGGGTCTGTCCCTATGCTGTTTAGACTGAAGACCATGTATTTCAGACATAGGTTTTTTCATAGCTCACTGCCACTTTCACTGCATAACGCAAATGAGACTTGTATGTCTTTGTTCGTACATGCATTTTTTTTTCTCATTGTCGCTATTTTATTATTCATTCATTTACTCATTCACAGGAGGAGCCATTTCCAACATGTACAGCATCATGGCTGCACGCTACAAGTATTTCCCTGAAGTCAAAACCAAAGGCATGGCTGCAGTCCCTAAACTGGTTCTCTTTACCTCGGAACATGTGAGTTTAATAAGCTGCTAATTCCTAATTTACTGACATATGTTGTGAAGACGCTTCATCATTAAACAACCTCTCCATTAAATGTGCATATGTTTTGCTGCAGAGTCACTATTCGATAAAGAAAGCTGGAGCTGCGCTTGGATTTGGAACAGACAATGTGATTTTGATAAAATGCAATGAAAGGTAGGATGAATGCTAAGGTTTTGATATATTAAATGTGTTCAACTGTTAAATTTGTTGTATTTTGCTTACGGACTGGTTCAGTACAGTGTGTCAAATCGCTAATGGCCTGTTGAGAAAATCCTATTACATTATTTCAATTGTAGCTAGTGTTTCCATATGCACTCCTCAATTTTCTTTGTCTTTCTGTTTCTACAATAATTACAGAGGCAAAATAATACCAGCTGATTTGGAGGCAAAAATTTTGGAAGCAAAACAAAAGGTTTGTGTTTTTTAAAATTAGTACTTAAATGCTTGGCTTGGTAAAATTACCTCTTCCTGTGAAGGCTGAGAGTTAATGTTAAAAGCGAACATTATAATGATACAAATGTTATAATAATATTTTCAGCTCCTTAATTATACATTCAGGTATTATTTAGGGAATTACCTATATGTCTTGCTAAGCTTTCCATTTACTGTTTAAAAAAAAGTATTTTTAATTTTTGAAACAAATCTGTATTTTATGACTTTGTTTGGAAATATATGGAAAAGAATACAAAAACGTGAAATTAAACCTACTTTTATCCAAACTTAAAGTTTAGCCAAAACCATCAAAAATTCTACTGAAGTCCTAAAAATTCCAGTAGATTTCAAGTGTGAGTCTGCAGGCTTAGTAAATATAGCCAGGAAGTTTAATCTTTTGAGGCATTCATTGTTATTTCTTGAATTAATGCAATGAAAAAGTCATTAATTTTGTATAAAACCACCAAAGTTAGAGCAATCAGATTAGTATTTTTTTTATTTCTTAACTTCTTTATATTTGGGCACTCGATGATATTACAGTTCACATTTTTTTTCATCTAATTCAAAATTGTCTCACTTTGATGTGATAGTTCCACATTTATTGCTTTTGGATTGCTTTGTTCTGCTTTGTTTTATTTATTAGTAGATAAAGACAAAAGGAACAACTTCAAGCCTTCAAATTGCAACTTATAAGTCACATTTCATTAATTTTCCTTTTTACTGCTGTAAGAGTCTCAACTTTACTTGATTATTGCTAGTCTTCTACTGGAGTGTTTGAATATCCTCACTGGAAGATATTAGACAAAATAATTTTCTTTAGTTTATTTTGTCAAGTTGCAGTACAATAAAAACAGAGTTTCTTCCTACCATGTACGCAATTTGTTAGTTGCTACTGTTGCTTATGCATACTTTTTGGATGGGATGAAAAACATTTTTAGGCTGGAAAACGGGATAGCCACATTTCTAAAATGATTCCTTTTTTTTAATTTCTGTAAAATCCTGGATTTTTTATTAAATATTATTATTTTTGTTGCAGGGATACGTTCCTCTTTTTGTAAATGCAACTGCAGGCACAACAGTATATGGAGCCTTTGATCCAATACAGGAGATTGCAGATATATGTGAAAAATACAACCTCTGGCTCCATGTAGATGTAAGTAACTGAATTAAGTGCTATTATTAAGGCAAAAGAGGATTTTTTTTTGTTTTGTTTACACATGTTTTGTCTTGAATTAAAGTATTTATTACTAGATCCTATGTAAATTAAAATATGTCAGGGTTTTCCAAAATGAGTCTTCTCTTTTTTCTGTCTCTTCCAGGCTGCCTGGGGAGGTGGACTCCTAATGTCCCGAAAGCATCGTCATAAATTGAATGGAATAGAAAGGTACTACATGGTGTTTATTTATAATACTGTTATTAAAGTACTTTCATAAGGTATATGACACTTCACAAACTCATGAAAAAATGAATTTGCTGCATTAGGGAGTTTGAGCACTAAATTAAACAAAAGCAAGATAGACAGGAAATGTTCAGAGTAGGAAGACTGAAACAATATTACAGAAGAGAACAGTGATGATGTACAGCTGAGTGAAAGGTAAGTTTTCAGCAGATTTGAAGGAGGACAATGATATTGCTTGGCAAGAAGGAAGAGATTGTTCTTTGTAGAGCTTTGAATGGATCAAAAGTCTGGGAATGGGTGAAGGGGGATTTAAGGAAAAAATGAAGTGTGAGAGCTAGACAATCTCTGAAATGTAGGGCTTTGAGAATAGCAGTGAGGAATCCGGAGAAGGTGTTTGAGCATGAATACCTACGATGGGAAGCCATGAAATGGTGGGAATTTCTAGAGATTCTCTCCTGAAGGATGTTTGCAGTAATTTCCAGAAAATTAAGAGTATACGTTCTGCCTGAAAATGAGTGTTCTGTAAATGAAATTTTATAAATATATATGTATACGCTTGCTTTGGTATTGCTTATATATTTATATACATATCAATATATATTTGTGTACAACAGAGAGAGGAACACATGGTAGAGACTGAATTAGCAGCAATTTTTAGAGGCAAATTTCAGTACCTGTAAGCTGAAAAGGACTTTGATAGCACAGAGCTGGTACAGTTCTATGGTGCCAGGCAGAAAACTGAGGGAGCTTACAGGGAGGCCAGAAGGAGTCACAGATACTCACAGTCTCAGGGTAAAGGAATCTGTGACTTGGTGCCATGTGGGGATGACATGAAACAAGCAGGAAGCTCTTGTAGAGGCCAGAGTGCAGTCTGCAGAAAAGAGAGTGTGTGTGTACCCCCAAGCACATAACCCAGGTTACCAAGATGGCCACTGAGAGCAGAAGCCAGCCTTTATTAAACAATTATTTGAACCAAATTTAAAAAGGCAAAGTGTTTGAGTTGGAAGTGGTAGCAGGGTGAGAGCGTGACTCTCCCCCCAGCCCTTACAATTCAGACTGAGGGGAGTCCCATATGTAGTACTTGGCACAGATGTTCCCATATCTGATGATGACAAGGCTGTAGTCTGTAGAAGATGCAATGTTTATAACCCCATGGGTGTGTTTGTCTTTAGGTTTCCTCTGAAACTGCTCTGTCATAAAAGGCTGCCTGTCTGAAAAAAAAAATCAGAAAAGCAATGAAGAATCAGAAATGTCAGATCTTTGCCATCATCGCAGATCTCAGTTTCCAGGGAAGCAAAATAAGATTTGAAACAAACTCTACCCATGTACTCTCAAATCAGCACCAAACTGCTTCCTCGAGTCAACTGTGCTGAAAGCGGGCACTGTGTAAAAGCATAACATGAGAACAGTGAGCAATGCACTGCCTCAGGGAAAACAAAGTTTCCTAGTGGCAGGCATCTCATACAGTAAGTGAAGAACAAGTACAAGGTAAAGAATAATGTACAGGACTGGTAGGAAGATCATGTGGACCCTCCTGTCACAAGGACAGCAGTGTGTGGTGTGGCAGGAATACTCTGAGGTAGCAGAATCATATCCACCTCTGCCCAATCTAATTCGGAAGTCACTCACGTCATGGCAACATGTCTAGTATGAGGTCAGCATTGTAAAATTATTTCCTTAAGCTATACAGGTTTGGTCACAGTAGTTTGGCACACCTCTTTTGACCTGAGGTCAACCCAGGGGTGCTAATTAAGACCGTAATCTTAAGCAAGTACAGAAAGCAGCAGGCCATGAAGCGTGATATTATTTCTTTTCTAAGTCAGCTGTACGGATCTTCAGAGGTGGGATGGCGCCCACGTGTCCTCCTGCATAATTGCCTGTCACAGGCCCCAGCTGGGGTCTGTGGCTAACACTTGGGCTAGACTTGGCCAGCCAGGAGCCACGGGCCTGCAAGGGCTGGCGTGCTGCCACTGTACGGAGTGGGATTGCCTGTGGTAGGACAGTCTCCGGCTGGCTGGCTGTGCAGGGTAGAAAGTGACATCTTCATGTTAAAATAAACCTTATGCTCCTTGCAGAAGTGGCCTGAAACCATATTTCTTTGGAACCCTGAAAGTTGAATAAATAAATGTGCTAAACTGAAACTGCAGAGCTCTCAGAAGGAAATGAGCTGTTATATAAATGTCTGTTTCTTGACTACTCCATCTGAACTGTTAGTGAAGTTTTTTAAAAGACAATTGCCGCCTAAGTCTGAGCTACATACCTGCTGGCTTGCACTGCCTAAGCAGGAGATTTTAGAGAGATGGTGAGCTCCTCAGGTACAGCGCAGGGTGAGCAGTTCTTTTGGCTAAGGGTGCTATGGACTAACCTAGCGCAGATAGAGTCTGGAATTGTGTCTGGAATCTTTATGGAGTTAATGGTCCTCAGACTGGGGTGAAGGAGTCATTGTGTTGCTCAAAATAGAGGAACTGTGGTTGTGTCTGTGTTCTCTGATAGCAGGGTGCAGAAAAGGAGGAAATATCTTTGCATTTTCTTTCAACCACGTTGTAAGAACACATGAACAGTCTGTGAAATATGATTATACACTTTGCTTCTCTGGAATACACAGTGAATCAAGGGGACATTTGGTAATTAATTACTTAGGGTGAAGAGGTCAATGGATATGCAATATTGGCACATTTATTTTAGCATCATCATTAAACTATCTATGTTAAATGTTATGTTAAAAATACAGAACATCTCATCTGCTTGGCTAATAAACTAGGTGATCTTGTGCATCCACCTGTTCTTACACGTAAAAAGTTTTAAGCTTTATATACAGAATGGTAGGATTGTGATGTAAAATTTTATAGCCTTTTAACAGTCCATGGGCTTGACAAACTAGTACAGAGAAGGCCTCTTGTGGCTTTAACTGGAAAAGCAGATAAGCATGAGGAGTGTCTTTTCCTTTGCTTTCTACTTTTCCAGCAGTTGTTCAGTAAAAAATGGTATTCTCTTAATTCTCTGACATCCCCCTCCCTCAATCAGTACCTTGAATTGATATAACCTGTCAAACTGCTTTTGTTGGTTTTATTAGTGCTATTTCTAGAAGTGGAGTCTTCTGGAGATGAAGTTACTGTATCAGCTCACCAGCATAGTCTGACACAAATTAGCTGGTATTAGTAATAATATAAACCAATCAAAAGTCTGAAATTGCAGTGTTAATGGATGGAAAATTCCTTTTCCAGACAGTATATCTGGGAAAGAAGACACTTGAGACAGTAATAATCTGCGTAGTGAATTCATCATGGTCAAAACTCCATACGTTTCTAGCTGAAATCAAAAAACAAAGGTGACTGCTTCAGGTTAAGTTTCTGTTTTCCAGACCTACCTGAATGTGTAATTTTTTTTTGCAGAGCCAACTCAGTCACTTGGAATCCACACAAGATGATGGGAGTGTTGTTACAATGTTCTGCCATCCTTGTCCGGGAGAAGGTCTGCCTTATATTAAATAATTAAGCAGTTAAAAAAACCAAACCACTAAATACCAAGCCCTACTTCTTAGGAGAGTAGTGTAAAATCCATTTAATTTCAAAACTTCTTTTGGAAGGAAGAATTGTGTGGATTTACATTGTGTTTAGGAAGTTGTTTCATCTTTTCTGGTTTTTTGATTTTTGGGTATTTTTTTGTTAAAGTTCTAGACAATATGGGTCAGATCTTTAGCTGTTGAATCTTTGCATGTTCTAATAACAATGCCAGAGCCATGCTAATATAATTCATCTGAACATTTGCCCCATTGTTTCTATGATATACTGAACATACACCCTTGATCTTAGTAATTGCTCACAATCTAAACTGCTTAAATAAAAAGCAACTTTTTTACCTTACATGATGGTTTAAAAGTTTCTCAATTCTGTTGAAAAGAAACCACCATGATGCTTTTATTATGACTCCATGTTATCTTTTTAGGGCTTTTTTCTAGATTCTTCATTGACATCAATGAAAGTATGACCAGTGTCTCAATTCTTTTAAGCAATATTTATTTTCCTTAGATGATAAAAAAACTCCACATCTGTCATCTGTGGATAGGATTAATTCTGTTGTCTACTAATTTCTGGCATGTAAATTGCTGCTAGAAGAGTTAGTTGAAGAGGTGGTTCCTGTGTATAGAACTGGGGTGAAGGAATTGTGGGTTCCAGTCCTAGGACTGCTGTTGCTCTTCCAGGTGGCCCATCTTTAAACCAAAGACTGCAGTGTTTGTTTTCCTTTATAAAACACTTTGACATCTATTGCAGGGAAGCACTAGCTATTATTTATGCTAACTGAGAATTTTGGCAAAATTTTTTATTCTCTATATGAGAACTTTGATAGGTGTTTTTGTATTTATCAGATATACCAGTGTCTTGAAACTTCTTCAAAGAACAACTAATGAACTCTAGAGGAGGTGCTAACTGTTTCAGAAGTGTCACGTGTAAGACTTCTGTGCAACATACAGAAATTTGCTCCTCCATGTTTCCTTCAGAGATATTTATCAGTAATCTGTAGGTTTCTATTGGTCTATGGACCATATTTGTTTGTAAGAAAAAAATGTCTGGTTTGGGTCCTTTGTATTTATTTTTATCACTAATGGTAAGTGTCATAAAGCTGGACAATATATAAAGTTGAAGTCTCCAGTTACTTTTTTTTTTCTTTATCTGCTGCAGTGAGAGACCACAGCTTTATTCTAGTGTGTAATTTAACATATCAAAAAATTAAGTCCTAAAACCATACAAACATAAAAACATAAATACAGAGTGGAAAAAGTTAGTATCAAAAACTAAGAATAGAAATTAATCTGAGAATGTTTTTCCAGGCGTGGGTCTGCGGGTGTGTAAAACTACTCAGGGACTTCTAAGAGAACTACCTTATATTATGAAATTATTTTTATGGCTAAGGTTTACAAAACAAGGTCAGTATTTCATAATTTGGCCCATTAAAGAACAATTCTTCTGTATATATTTGAAATACATTTTTCAATATATTATTAATGCATACAGTTTCATATGCACATATTCCATGTAAGTCATACAATACACATTTTTCATTACAGGGTATACTTCAGGGCTGCAATCAAATGTGTGCAGGCTATCTCTTCCAGCAAGACAAACAGTATGATGTATCCTATGACACTGGAGATAAGGCCATACAGTGTGGTCGACATGTGGACATTTTCAAATTCTGGCTGATGTGGAAGGCAAAGGTAAATAGTAAAAGTTCAGCTCAAAAATCAGAAACATACAGCCTTATGTGTTCCTAAGGCGGTCAAGAAAACACGTTTCATTTTTATTTCTTTACCTGCAGACGTCTTATTACTATTCTTCTTGCTGTTCTGCTGAAAAATGGGAATTTAGTTGGGTAACCTGTCTACAGTCTAATCTTTTTTTTATAAAAATGAGTTTAAATATAATGGCAAAATGTACAGTCATAACCCAGTTTTCACTTTGGGTGAGAGATGAACAGCAATAGTAAGTAATCTGTGATGATAGGAGATGGTTTCATGCAAATTTCCTCACTATTGAAGACTGAGGGAATAAAGTAACAGAACTTCAGATATACAGTTACTTTTAAACAGATTGTAGAGTTGTCATTGTTTATTTCAAAAAGTACTTCAGAAAAAGAAACAGAACACTTCAACACAAAATACTTGTAACAATGACTTTAGTAATCAGCATAGGTTTGATTACCAGGCTAAGTACATTTCAGTTCAGACTCAGTTCTTCCTCCAAAATAAATTATCTTGGTACTGTAATCTAGGAACATGAAGCTGCTTATGGCACGTTAGAACCAGACCGTGACTAGCAACTTTGAAGTGTGTTGTTTGTGTTCTAATTATCAAGTGCTGACTACAGGCACCATTAAAGCATGGACTGAATGTTTTTCTAAATACCAGCCGAGTACATTTTGTCAAAACTGGCATGTGATTCTACCTCTGCTGTTACAGTCACCTGTTAAAATGACCTCACTAAAGAAGTACAGCACTTCACAATAAAGAAAAAAAAAATACAGTGGAAATCATAATGGATAGGCCTCATATTTAAGATTCAGAGGTAGGATATTTGTGGATGTGATTCTTTAAAAATAATATAGGATAAAATTGCTAAGTTGATCTGCATATCTAGAATTTAAATTTCTCCAGAAATGAGTTATTTCAGATTTCTGTTTAGTGTTGAGACAGATTCAGATTTCTTGGACCTGAGATCTCTGAGGTATTGGATAGAACCTGTTTCTAGCAGATTGCATGATTATTTTACAAAAATGTTAAGAAAACAAAATACTAGGAGCTATAGAAATTTTTCGTTCAGCATTAGCCACCATGAGTGATCATACTCTTGTCCTTGTAGTGGAAATACATAGCCTAGGTCCAGAAGTACTCTTGTGACTTTACCTTCAGGCATTTTATTCAGTACAAAGAACTTACCCCAAATATGCAATAATATAAGAGTGTACTTGTCTTACTCCTTCATTCATATACAAAGTGTACTTTTTTAAAAAAAACAACCACCCAAAACTTTCCCCCCCCTTAATTTATAAGCAACATTCATCTACTGTTTCTGGGATTATGATCTTTCAAACCAAATCAGATATGACAAAAGATTAGTGGGTAGGCAAATGATTTTTAGGAAACACATTGCAGGCTATTGTTTGCTGACTTATTAAAATGCAAATTTTTAGCAAACTGTTCAAAGGAAATAAATTACTTCCCAACTCTTTCCCTTTCAACTGAGTTCCCATTCCATGATCCTGGTCTTTCAGAAAGAGCTGGGAAGCCAAGACTTAATATTCATAATATTTTTTGAACAAGAAAAAGAGCTAAAAATAATCTATTAAAAATATCAAAACTCTTGTTATTATCATAATAAATTATTTTAAAACGAGACCCAAACCAAATACTGATTACAGTAAGGCCGCGTTTAGCCACTTTTGAGGTGTTGATTTACTTTACTTTTAAATTACAAGAAATAATACTGCTAAATGTTTCCTGACTGAAAACATTTAAGAGTGAAGCCTATCTGAAAAGATGATTGCATAGGAGGAGGAAAAGTGGCCGTGTAATTAATACTTACTTTCTTCTTAAAACAGGGTACAGTAGGATTTGAAAATCAGATCAATAAATGCCTGGAGCTGGCAGAATATCTCTACACTAAGATCAAAAACAGAGAAGAATTTGAGATGGTTTTTGAAGGGGAGGTAAGTTTTCTTTCATTTAACCTGTGTATAGGAGCCAAATCTGTCCGGAATTTCAAAAACAGTCTTACACTTCTCACAGTTTTTCAAGCCAGCTATGCAAAACTGCTCTTATTTTCTAAAGACCTACATGACTATTGGCATCTGGGTAGTTTTTTGGCCAAATGCATGTGTTTTTTTTCCATAAATGTCAGATTTATCTCCTCTCATTCTCCTCTACAGAGGACTTCTCACTTTAGGGCATGAAGACTACCTTAACACAATCTACCCCAGCTGAGATTCCATGTTTTAACATACAGAACTGAGACTCTGATATTTTTGCCGTATGTTCTATTGCTAGTGCCACTGCATAAGCTCTTGGTTGATAAAATTACAAATATACTTCATCTCTCTGTTTACTAAGAAAAGGGAAATTGGGTTGCTTTTGCTGCAATCCTGGAAAACAGTTCCTCATAAAACTGCATGAAGGGGAAATGTATTTGCAATTCATTAGCACCCTAAAACATTGTAAATGTGACAGTGTATAGGGAACCTAAGACAGCAGATGCAACCAGCGGTGCTGTAATCCATTTATTTTGTTTTAACGTGCAGAACTAGGAAAATTAATACTATATTTTGTCTTCCATGCCTGTGCTAAAATATGCTACTGACTGGCCTTTAGTGTGTAATTGATCTATATTATTTTGTTTATCAATGCATGTGTTTGGTTCTTTTTTGTTTATCAATGTATGTGTTTGGTTCTTTTTGCAGCCGGAGCATACAAATGTATGTTTTTGGTATATTCCGCCAAGTCTCAGGGGCATGCCAGACTCTGATGAGAGAAGAGAAAAGTTACACAGGGTATGTGGCTTATGTTAAATGCAAAAATATAGCCTACTTTCAGCCCAAAGTGTTCTGTTTATTAAAAATAATTTATCTGTGTGTTGACACATGTTCCTAGTTCTGGGATGTCAGTTCTTCAATTGCTTGTTATGACCTTGATATTTGTCTACCTTTGTCTCCTACTTCTACTGAGGCTGAAGTCACATTTCCCTTCTAGAATGAGATATAGAACATACTCAGTGATTATTTGTTTTGTATCGCTTCTGTACTCTCAAAAGCATTATGAATCTTTATAAAGTAGTGAGGCACAAAGACGTCCCAATCCTGTTTGAATAGGGCAGCATATCAGCAAGAGAAATGTGAGGGTAATTATTTGAAAATCCTGGGACAGGTAAAGGACATGGAAACCCGTAAGTCCTCAGGTCTTTACATTGATTTTAAATGTGCTTGGTTAGTCATGTATTAATGCATTTCCATGAAAATTAATACCCTTTGGGATAAATTTATTTGAAGAAAAAATAGAGGGAAGTGAAGGCATTGTAGAGGCACCACCCCTACAATGGTCAAGTATCATGTTACTTACGACTTGGGGGAAGTGAAATACAGTAATTTTGTGGTAGCATTTTAGGCAGACAGAAGCAGAATGAAATACATTCAGGAGACAAAAGAATGGTTTTATAGCAGGCAAAATCAATTGCAATTTTTTTCCTGTTTGGGAAGGGAGAAGAATGGGAAAACTTGGGATGTTTTGTAGAGGATTTTATGTCTGCATCACACTGGGGAAAGAGAACAGAAAAGAATAGAAATTCCTATGTCAACCAGTGACATATTACATAAAGAAATTGTCGAGAAAAGAGGAAGATAAGACTGGGAGGAAGGATGAAATGTTTGATTTGACCCTGTTTAATGTCAGAAGATATTATAAAGCATCCTACAAAACAGTGTAAGAGCTGGACATCTGACCTTGGCTGGCAGAGAGAAAGAAGGTCTGGATGGCAAAACTGGGCTCAATCAATACCAAATATTAAGATAGTCATTATGATGGACGTTATTCCTTGTAAATTAAAGTGAAGACATGAGATTGCAGTAAATGCACGGTACTGCAAAACTACTGGAAGGTTTCCATGGCTTACACTAACGGAGAATATTCTTTCTGAAATAAATCTTGTTGAAAAATTTTCATTGTGTCCCTGCTCCTCCCCCTACCCTGCCTCTAGAAAATGACTTTGAGAATGCATAATATTCTCATGGAAAACATCCATTACCCTCTAAAAGGTGGTTCTGGAGTACGTTTTCATCAAAAGACAGAAAACACTTCTTCATGACAAAAATCTTCAGCACAGACAAATGGCATCTACGTTTAATAGATTAAATTATTACATAGTGAATACTCTAGGATGCTATTAGTCTCTTAATAAAAAAGATGGGTATTATTGTCAATTTTTCTTTAAATAGCCATTCCTACATATTTAGATTTTCAAGCTTTTTCTCTTACAGATCTTTTTATAAAAACTAGTGCCTTTCTAGTCTGGCCGTTTTTTTTTCCAAATTAAGAAATGTTGTGACATACCAAGAAAGGATAAAGTTTTTAATTCTTCTTCTCTCTCTCTCTTATTTTTTTTATTTTTAAATTATAAAGGTGGCACCGAAAATCAAAGCACTGATGATGGAATCGGGTACTACCATGGTTGGATATCAGCCTCAGGGCGATAAAGTCAACTTCTTCCGTATGGTCATCTCAAACCCAGCAGCAACTAAGTCTGACATTGACTTCCTCATTGAGGAAATAGAGAGATTGGGGCAGGAGCTGTAGGGAAGTGGTTGAATGATTTATTTCTCTAATTCACTGTTTTCCAGCACTGGCTATTTTCTAACCCAGTTCTGCAGAACATGTTTTAAGGAAATTCTCTTTCTGTAAGTTCCAGTCTCCTAAGATATCCTAAATAAAACAACTATAGGCTACTGAAACATATATGTATTGGTAGATCATAATACTGAGGGAAAATGTATTATCTTGAAGTTGAAGTACTATTGACTCTTACGTTGGTCTTGTTTATTGTAGTCAGCAGGAAATTAGTAAGTATTAAAATAGTAAATTAAGAACTCTGCACAGTATATATGTACAGTATAAATAAATATATATAATTATATATATATATACATACACATATATATATATAAAGTGGTTATAAACATAGATCTAAACCACAGCATGTTTTCCACTTTAAGAGAATTAACTTTTCCTTCAACAACTAATGATGTGGATAATGTGCTACAGATTTTTTCCCCAGGTAAAAATAGGCATATAGAAACATTTCTAAAATGTAGATTCTTAGGAGCTAAAGAAAATGTATAACAGTATTAAATCTTATTGTTGGTGCTTCTCTCATGTACAAAACAGCAATCTCTAACAGCACCTTTGAGTAAAATAGTTGTATTTCCCCTTTAGTGTCACATCAGGGGATAATAGTAGCAGAGTCATTGTAACAGGTATATTATTGCTGTATTTTTAGAAGTTAATTTGTGTAGATTGTGTATATTATTGTTAAATGACTTTGTGTAAAAGGATTTCAATGTAATAGTTTTACAGCAAGATAACTGTTGAATTGTAGGTATATGAAATATTTGCTTATTTATATGCAGAGATTTACCATGCTGAAGAGTTGTCTTGTATTTTCTTCCATTTGTAATGTATCCTATTTATATATTATTGAAGTTCTAAATAATGTTTATGGTATTTTAGTGTCTTTGTGAGCCAAAGAAAAAATACTAAAATATTAGTTGACACTTTCATTTAAATCCTAGTGCCCTTAAAATAATAACTTACAAATAATTTTACTTAATATAAGGAATTCTAACATTGTGTATAAACTGTCAAATTATGCGATCCCTTTAATTTAGTAGAATTTTCAGTTTTATTTATTGTAATGTCAGACTGTCTCTTCAGTGATCTGAATGCTTTTCTAGTGAATGTTGGTTGCTAACCAAGGCCCCTGTTTTTGAGTTGTATTTCAGGACTGATCTCTATGACCATTCTAACTAAACTCTGTGGGAAGATTCCTGAACTTCTATAGCATTTCTGTGGGAGTTTTAACCAGCATCATTCTTTTAGTGAAATGGAATTCACTATGTGTTTGGAGCTTATAAAATAAATAAATACAAAAGTAATCTCAGCATCTTTTAATAGAGCTGGCTTGTCACAACTATTTCAACTGGCTAGACTTTTCAAAGTACAGACACCAGAGTCATCTGCAGCTTGTTCAGTTTTAATCATTAGAGAATCAATACTACCCAGTGGAAAACTCCATGCTGGAAGCAGAGTAGTGGAACAAAATGAAGACTCAATAGCCCTCTGTCTACTGAATCGCTGTCATGGTGATAAATGGAATATGCTAATTTCAAATCTCTTCATACATGATTCTATGGCTATCTTCTATGCAAGTCAGTAATTAATTGGTTTTTCTTTTTCTTTTCTTTCTTTTTTTTTTCCAAATCAGTAATAACCTTAAATTATTTTAGAAACATTCAGTGAAATGCAGTCATGCTATGCAGTTTTCGCAGCCTCTCTGCTTCCTCTCAGTCTTGTGGAAGGACAGCTACAGCCAGGAGAGATTTCCATCCTGCAGGTCCCACTGGTTGTCTTCTGAGGATGCTGTCTCACATCTTTGTCTGGGTCAGAGCAGGGAGAAGGAAAAAGCTGTCATGGTAAATGCCATATCATATAGCACAGTCTTTCCAGCTTTTCATAGAACTATTGCTTCTCTCTCTTCCATAACCTTCTTTAAAACCTTTTCTTGAAATTATTTGAGTTGTATCTAAAAATTACTATAAATCTGTCACTGTCTTTTAGATTTATGATTATGACTTTCAAAATGTTATCTACATCATTACTTTTATGCCATGAAACCTCCCAGTAGAGTATTTCTTTAACTGGGTTATTTTCCACAAGACAGTGTAGTTTATTTCTTGCCGCCTTATTCTTAAACTTCAACCTTCCTTAATGATAAGCCTGATATCTTACCATGTCTTCAATACTTAATATTTCTCGATGTAAATATCCATGCAGTATGACCAGAGGCCTGCAATACAGAAATAGTCAGCATGAACATTGATTTCACTACCAACTTCCATAATATTAAATGCCATTCTTTATAGATATCAGCTATTCATCAAAACTAGAGGGTCTTTCATGGAGAGCTGTTTTTAGAGCATAGAAAGTTTGTTTTGAAGAGGATGTACATGTCACATTTCATTACAGGCTTCTGCCTAAAGTCTGGTCTCTGTCACAGTTTTACTTTATTCAAAGGGCAGCTACAGAAGATTGAAAGATTTCCCTCAGTCCCTGTTGTTTATGAGAAACAATGTGAACTAGTATAATCAATGCAAAGATATACAACTGCTGACCTAGCTTCACTAGGGGACTTTACATCTTCCACATAAGCAGCACCATGGTCCTTGTGATTTCTTCAACTATTTCTTAGGTGGGAATTTCTGACCTCCTCCACTTCCTTAGTCAAGATATTTCAACAACAGTATGACTAAAGATCCCAACTTATCCTTCACTTTCTAACCTTAACATTTTAACTTCATGGACCTTGTATCCAGATCATCATCTCAATATTATAATAATAATTTATTGTGTTTGAAATGTTGTATCTTCTAGAAGCATCTCTTTACCAAGGTAAAGAGAATAATCCTCACGAAACTATAGGAAAGACCATAATATAGCTTACTGGCATTCATACAGTCCTGTGACGTAGTCAGAAATAGATCTAGAGCTCTTCAGCACATATAAAAAGTTTTTCTCACTAAAATTTTGCTTCTTCATTTAATAGAATATCTTGTGTTTTGAAGGTCAGAAGCATCAGAGGTTCTACCTATTCCCATGATGGTATGCAGCTAGATGGGAATAATGGAGCTCTTCCTGCCCGTCTCAGAAGTGAGACAGGTAACACAGAGGTGTTTTCTCTAAAGACAGAGGGTTTAAATTTATCCTTCTACTCTCTGCATTTTATCTTGCCTTTCTGCAGTGTTGTGTCTTGACACAGATGATACCCACAATTAGGTTTTTGCAAAGCTTTTAATTCTAATATGAGACTGGAGTGTTTCCCTATTACATGTACCTGCTTCTGCAGGCACAGAGCTCATATTAATTTCCGACTTGGTTAGCTGATTTTAACAGAGCAGTTATGGTCATCAGTAGGAAAACTCATCTGTGTTTTCTTCTCAGTAGGTGATTTTCATCTGAGTAATATGTTACAGCTGCTCAGACAAAAGCTTACCTGGAATTTTCCTGCTTTTTAATCCATACACTATTGACTGTGAGAGATCAGGAAGTATGGATATACGGAAGTGTTGACTAAGTCAAAGCATTGCAATTCCAGGTGAGTAATTTTGTTTTTTTCAGGTTTAAAATATACCCTAAGGTAGCAATTTTGCCCTTAAAATCACACAGACAGCCAATTTTGTGTGGGTGAATTCAGATCAAATAAACAATAGGCAAGATCTTCGCTTAACATGTAGCTGCAGTGCTTATTAAGTGATGTAATTTATTTGGAAAAGACTGACCATTAAATAAAATCAACAGCAGCTGTTGATTTTGAATGAGAAAAATTCTGATTGTATTATTAAAGGTACTGATTGTATTATTAAAGAAGAAGAGAATTATTTAGAGAAGAAACCATTCATGGCAGACAGACGGAACCAGGGGCCTTGGGAGTAACCCAGGATTTTAAAATCATCATTGACTTAGTTCATAATCTGTTTTTTGAATGGTGACAAATATGAAGAGATTTTTTAAACAGAATCTCTGTTTTGTGGTTTAAGAAATGTCAAAGTTATAAAGAAGATATGCAATGCAGTTTTAATTTTTCAATAAAAGTTGATCTTAAAACTGTCTAATTTGTCTCATAATTTTTGTAAGCTATTTTGTTTCCTAAAGAATATGAGACAAAACGCATACAACGTTATCCCTTACATTAAAAATAGTAAGGCCAATGCTAAGGCTACTATTCAGTTTTAATTATGAATCAAATGTGATCTTGTACCACCACAGGCTGAGGAAGAACTGCAAGTTCTGAACCTTGATCAGTTTGAATAGGGTCGTCAAGATACTAGCACTGTGTAGAAATACTAAAAAAAATAGAGAATCTAAAAATCTTCCTGTGCGATATTCTGTGTGGTTTATAAAATCCTCATCCAACTTACATCCAAGAAAGTTAACAGGAACTTTGGAATGGGTAAAAAGAATAAGATTAAGTCCTTGTGGTAAAAGCCCTGCTATTTAATCTGTCGATATATTTATGAAACTTACTTCTTGTAATGCAGATCTTACTGCCAGGAGGACTTGACTACATGCTTAACTTTGCACACTTTGCAATGCCACTGGTTGATCTCAGTGTTTGTTTATTAGGCACATTTAAATCTGCACACAATCAGAAGTAGGATATTTTTATGCAATTTTAAATCTACTTGGCTGATAAAGTACTTTCCTGTATGTAAAAAAATGCAGGACAGGACCAGGCCTAAAGGTGTTTTGAATAGTGTTATGTTTCAGCACTTCTGTGTTTGTCAGAAATGATAGAGGGATGGCACGAGGAGCCCTGACGGTCATCCGACAGTTCACTGTGGAGTCAGTAGCACAGGATATATGGGGTGCCTGACTCTGAAAGCATTTAAAGTCTGCGTAGCAGAAAATCTGTGAATATTCTTAGCAGAGTCAGTTAGAACTTGGTTTCCCTGTTAAGCCACTTTTGTATTAAGCATTAAAATGCACAGTCTTTTACAGTAAAAATGTTACTTTGTAACACATGTAAATGAGACATTGGCAGCTTTATTTTGTGAGTAAATATGTTTTGCACGAATAATTTTGTAAAGGTGTACAAGGGAAGCCTAATCTTGCCACCACAGAAGTTGACAGGAGAATTGCTGCTGATTGCCTGAATCAATCTTTCCCATTCTTGGAAGTAAAAGACCATTTCCTAGCAAAACAAAATAAGACCCTAAATCTGAAATTCTGAAATTCTTGTATTCTCTAAAAAAAGACTATACATATTGCAGTAACATCAAACAAATTCGATGTATCTCGTATAGAATCATAGATGTTTCAAAATATACCATAAACTGAATTTGACCACAAAATAGTTGAAAAGTAAAATTTATAAGAATGCCAGAACTTCAGGGAAATACCTTTTTTTTTTTCCTAATTGGACTTGAGTGAAGCAAAATAATTACAAAATACAAGTCTTTCCCTCTGTAAATACAGTATGAATTAAAGTTTTTTGTGGCAAAGCATTATACTATGTAGCACATGATATGTCTATGCGTGATATATACTTGATATATATAATATGTAACATGAAAAAGGTGATTAAAAATTTTGGATTCTAGATCATATTTTGGGGCAATGTGTCATTCTATTACGGGTGTTAAAATATTTTTAATTCTTTTTTTTTTTATACCAAATATATTGAAAAATAAGAGTATGTTTTGAATTCATAAAAGTATAAAATAATTTTTTTCACTATATAGACGATTCTGATTAATTACCACTTTATGCATTAACCATAGAACTGTCAGTGATTTTAACAGTAAGTAATAAATTTTATTTTGATTGCTATAGGGTAGGATGAGCATCCTTCAGGTAGGATGAGTTTTCTTAAGAACAGTTTTCTTTCCAAGTTAAAGAATTTTATGCAGCAAACTAGGAATGAGGAAAATATATGCTGCAAAGAAACTTATTAAGTCCATTAGTGTAGCATGCAAATGCCATGATGTAAAGCATTAAAAATTATGGAAGATGATTGTATCATGTGTGAGTAGAAAGGAATGTACTCTTACATACACTGTTCAATAAAATGTTAGGACCACAATGGGATTGTTTGTAGTTGGGTACAGCACACTGTGTTCAACTGAATTACATCTGCCTGAATTTCTTTTTTAGTGTTTTATGATTTGCAAATTGTGACAGTTATGCTTAGGGTGATAGCACGTGAATCTGGAACTACTACTCACCCAGGAACTGCAACTAAGCTAGTGAAGAGGAAATGGGAAGACACAAGAATTGACTGAAAGTGAAGGGTAAAAGGAAGGATGGCTGCACAACATGGAAAGGTTTGGATTTCATTAGAGCATTTGGAAGAATCAGGCTTCTGGTCAAAGCAGAAATAAAATTATGGTTAGAATAAAAGATAAGATGCAAGCAGAAGTTTTTAAGTAGACCTGGTAAAGAAAAATATTCTGGTTCTCTGTTTTAATAGATCTATTTACTGAGGAAAAGTGGAGCATTGTTTAGTAGTGATGATAACAGAAAAAATTGAAGATAAAATATTACACACCTTGATTTATTTCTGCTATTTATTAGGTAATCCATTCAGCATCTGAATAATTCAGCATTATTTCAGACTGGATAAGTATACTTAATATATGTATTTATATTTCATCATATAAAACAGAAGGACACATGCATGTACATACTCAGTGTGTATCAGAAAAAAATTAAGTCTTGCATGATGTTGACCTTTCTGTGTAGGACTTTTCAGGATATCTGCAAAGATTCTTGAAGTGTAACAGTAAACAAGTATATCATGAAAGAAATAGTAAATTATTTTCTCTTACCTTTGAAATGTGTGTGTGTGTTGTGTATGTATATGAATGATTAAATCTCTGTCATATGAAATTCTTAAATTATATACTTTTTAACAAAATATCAGTCTAGTTCATCTGAGAACAGTTGGTTTGAGGCAGGAATTACTGTGTGAAAAATTTTGGCCTTTTCTTATGTGGAAATGTGTTGTGCCCTGACAGTGTGAACGAAAATATGTAAGAGCGTTGCAGGCAATAGGAAATGGAGAAAAAGTAAGTTTAATATTGCAAGAAAGCCTAGAAAAATGTCACTACAAGCAAAATCAACAAATGTAAGTGCAATTACTTTAGCTTAGATTTACAGAAGCGTGTCATCTGTGACCACAATGTAAGCTGATTTGAAGCCATATCCTGTTCGTGTGACATTAGCAAGAATTTTGAGAATGCTGGTGTATAAAGCAAGAATATTGGCCTTCAAAAAAATAAAACTGTGAATGCTAACTTTAAACTGGACAGGAGACAGTATCTCTAAAAAGCAAAGTGAGGAAGGCATAAGACATTTCTCACTCAGTGTCATGTTGGTCAGTGCATTTTATGTCTTCTAAAGATTACACAAATTATAAATTATGTTCACTGTTCAACGTAGTGCCTTATTAATTAGGACTTTCCCTGGGCCCCAGCAAAAAAGGCCATTAATCTCAATTAAGCTTCTTCCTTTACTTTCAGAAGGCTCCCTGCAGGGTAAGACTGACATTGTGTTTGTGGGCAAAGGGCCAGACTGACCACTAGATGCTATATGGTGAACTCTTTATTTCCACTGATGTGAGTTTTTTATTGTTGCATGGTCTGGCTATGAGCATCCTTGAAGAAAAGGCCCTCACTGACTGTCTCTTTCAGCTAATCCCCTTTTCTGCCACACACGAGGCACTGGCAATCGCTGAATGCACTAGTAGGGCTCTTGACCGTCGCAAGGAGTACAGCTTCACTGGGCAATGGGGTGAGATCTCCACGTGCTGGGTTTGACAGTGCTGAAACAAAGATTCGTAATTGTTTTGATTACAGCAGGATTTCCTATTTATGGAAAATATGACTTTTACCAATTCACTGTAACTATGACATTTAATAACTCTTTTTTTTTTAATTTATTTATCAGAAGGTATGCTGCTGCAATAATTTGGTGCATTCACTTATCTCAGTCCCACTATTGGAAAGTATATTACTTGTACCTGATTACATTATGTTTCACGGCTATTATATTTCTTTATACTGTTTTGCATCATCATAGCTCTTAAATTATTCTACATATTTTTCAAGAGGAGGTGGTTTTTTCCCCATTGCAAAAGAACCAGATTTAGTTTCCCTGCTGTAAATACCCCATATCAGTCAGTAGTTTGTATTGGTTTTACTCAGTCCTGGTGAAATGTAATTATTCTGCAAGTATAAATAATTACCAGCTCTATCTTACGGTATAATGCAATGCATATATTCTTGTCTTCCCAAGGATATGAGGCCTGTCTTTTTGCAAGATATGACGAGAAGTCACAGATTGCTAATTTGTGACCTGGCTTCCTAGCAGGGAGAATGGTAATTGCCATCAGACAGCTCCCTCTGCTTTCTTAAGTGAGTACACACAGACTGATTGCAGCATTAGAGCTACCGTTGCAGCTGGAAGAAAACCCAACAAAATTTCTTCCTTTTGAACACATCAACATTACTTTAAAAAGAGCTGCCAGGCCAGTAATTGCTACAATTTGCCTTCTCCAAAAGCCTCATTTTACATTGGTTTTTTTTTTATCTGCCAGACATTCTGTGACTATAATGTAAATAATTACGCTTAGCTATTGTTGAATGGCTTCAGAACTCATGTTGATTTTCTATATATAATGCTGCTGTTATTATACAATTACTGGTGTACTGGAGGTAGTCCAGAGGTGGAATGGAGGGTCTCAGGGGAATTTGGAGGCTCTTTCATTTACTGTGTAGCCTAGTACAGAGCTGCTGCCATTAAGCTGGCAAAGTGGTCAAAAGAAGAAACTGAAATCACTGGATTGCACCATAGACACTTGGTTGGATACTCTTAAGAAAATGTACATGCCTTGAATTTGCAACAGGAATGCCTCTTCCTTTCCCATCTTTTAGCAAAAACAATTAATGGAAGGAGCTTCAACAAACAAATGGGCCTTGTTGGGACCATGTCTTCAGTTTGGAGTTTATATAGTGAACTACAAATTCATCTGCTTATCTACTTAGATAATTTCTAAATAAGCATAATTCATATACAAGTGTACATCTCTAGGCTTGCAACATCAAATTACTCTTCACTTACAGGACAACCCACAAAATTTTAAAAGTAAATAATGCTTTGTATATTCATCTTCCTGACATTGCATATTGCTCATTCTTCCACTGAATGGATTAACAGGTCCTTTCAAATATATGTGTGTAAAAGAGAGAGAAAGGGTACAAGAAAAGCTTTTCTGATAGGCTACCAAACCAGTCTTCTACACCTTTGTTGAATGGAAGAGTAGATTGGGAGGTTGGCCTAACACAAGAAAACAAAACTAATTCAAACACCCTGACTTTGGTGGAGTTCTTGGTATAAATGGAAGAAGAGAGATAAAGTGATAGGCAGTGGTATACCAGAGAAGAGTCACACAGGGCTAGTTTCAGAATAGTAAAATTGCCTGGCAGGAAAAAAGCAAATATACAACATACTTCAAAGTGAATAATTTACAAAGTGGTAAAACTAGAAGAAGCCAAAAAACCCAATTTGGTAACAGAACCAACAGGTAACAGAACCTACACTAAGTGACACTCATTGCAATAGTTTGAAATAGATACCAGCTTACAACATGTTGTTTTGTAGGATGTTGAAATGTATATGACCTGTCCCTAACTGCTTATTTATATAATTTTAAATGCACAGGATTTTTCTAGCAGTATTATTTTTTCATTACACCCATAGGCACTAGAAGCACTTTTTACCATCTACATCACTCAGAAAAAGGTGCAAAGAGGAATGTTCAGACAGGTAAAGCTTTCTTCTACCCACATTGTTCACTTATGTTTAGCTATCTTAAATTGGGTTAATTTTCTACTTGTGTGGATGCCTTTTAAACTATGTTGGTTTCCTAGGCTAAATAACACAAGTTTCATTACTAAAATCATTTGAAATGGCAAAGGGCAAAACAAAACAGTGGAATATATACTGTATAGAAAACTGTTGGAATGACTTATTGAAGCAAGGAATGAGAGCTGATTATCTCATCTCCACTTGCTTTGAGTCTGATGTGCTCTCTGAAATGCAGATTCAACAATTCGGGCAGCTGTTCAGCAGTTACAAGAAGCAATACCAAGAATTTAGAAAAATGGAGGCCTGTTTCCCCGTTGCACTATAAAATCAGGCTTTTATGCCTAGTTGTGAATGGGAGATCAGATCTGATAGGTTCTTGCCTACCAAAACCAAGTCATACTCACACTGTCAGATATTTTTTTTTAATGTATCAATTACTTTGATACATTTCTTGTTAGAAAAGCTTTTGTTTAGCAAGTTATGCAGAATCTTCTCATGGAAGACTATGTGTCTGTATACATGTATGACTCTGCATCAGACCTAATATCTTAATCAGTTATTCTATAAGAAGCAAAGAAAATAATATAAAATAATAGATCTAAAACATATATGTATAAAACTATATAAAATGATAGAAAGATTTTAGCAGTGATTTGGGTTTGCTTTCTTTTCTTATACACTATACACTACATATAACTTTTTTAACTACCTTATAAATTGAAAATATTTATCATGTAAA